AATAATATAAAATAAAATATTATTATTTAAATACTTACGGAATATCCCAAAAGTAATTATATACTGGTTCTAAACTTACAAAATTTTCTGTCTTATTATTGTAATACTCCATCATATTTTTATGGTTACAAAGTATTATATTTAAATTTGTATTTGTCAAATTGTCCCTTGGTACCAAGCAAAAATGGCAAAGATATTTTGAATTGGTTAATTTATAAGTTAATGAAAAAGTACAAGCTTCCAGCCAATTACAAATTATCATAGAAATTCTTGGAAAAAATCAAATAGTATTACTATTGACTTTAAAATCGATACCATTATCACCTTCGAATAGAGGTTCTAGTAAGAATTTTAATATATTGTGAAAAGTTTTGCGAACTAATTTCTTAAATTCGGAAGATTTTTTTTCTGATTTATCTTTAGCAGATAAATTAGAAAATAACTCAATAATTGTTTAGCATTTTCCTTATTTCTTGTCACGTTGGAATATTACCAAGAGACATGTAAATGGGGTGTAATGAACTCTTTCCTAATGTGTCGAGTGTAACAGCATCCGAATAGAGAATGATTGATAAAATATGTGTTAAAGGTGGAATTGAACCTTCTGCATGTTTCTACCAATTTCCGGAATTTTGCTTCCCATATGATTTCTCCCTTTGGTCTATGATAATATGTAAATATTAAGTATATTAATTTTAAAGTAAAAATATACAAATTTTTTAAAAAATTTTAAAATTTTATTGCCAAATCTTCGTAATCATATGCAAAATGTTCGATTATGTCTGAATTTGATAGAAAATTTTCAATACAATTTTTGATTGAATAATAGTGTATAAAATATTCATTATCATTATGAACAAGTATACGATGTTTATAATTAGCTAAGTGTAATAAATTCATATCATCCATAAATTTTCAACCAACAAGGATATTTTTAGAAAGGGGAGAAATATATAAATTAGAATGCTTATTAAAGAAATTTATAATTTCATTACCAGTTTGATTATTTAGATTATGTTTAATAACAAGAGTCATCAAGTTGGTGTAAACTTCATTTGAAAATTCTTTAACATTTTTAATTTCGGGTTCTTCTTCAAAACTTTGTAAACTCAAAGATAAATTTTTGTATCTTTCCGAAATTGAAAGTGATATTAATAAAATATCATCATCATACTCTTAAAGATCTTGTGAATTTTTTCTCATTTTGAAACTTGACGTTATTTCTTCTTGTCTTTTACTATCTACACTATCTTCACTATTTTCACTATATTCACTATATTCATTATTTTCATTATCTTCACTATCTACTGCCATATCAGTAACTTCTGAAATTATTTCCGAAACTTCATTGTTGGAATTGTTGGAATTGTTGGAATCATTGGAATCGTTAGAATCGTTGAATTCTTCTGTACTAATATCATATTTAATAATGCATAGATTTACATGTTAGGCATATGCATTACAGTTCGAAAAAGAACAAGGACAATATTGATATTTAAAGTTAGCTATAAACATTTTTCAATTTTGATATTTTTCAATTTTTTCAAAGTTAGTTTAATACTTTTAGCACTCTTTTTCACAACAC